TACTCTCACCGATATTTTGTCGAATAATGTGATTCTCGACCATATCGCCCCTTATTTATCGACCCCAGCTTTGTTTGCCGTGGCCTCGACCTCGCGTGTTCTTAGATCTTTGGTGATAGACACGCCATACGTTTTCCGGCATCTCGATCTGAGCCGATGTCGCGGCGCCTGCTTTGCCAGTGAATTACCAGAAAACTTTGAGAGTCAGGTCGCAGGGGAAGATCAGCTGAGTGACGCACTTACAGCGGATGGCTTCTATGCGGTACCTTTACGAGGAATCTTTGACCACCTCGAACGAAAATCAATCCTGCAAGATGTGCGGACACTGATCATGGACGGGCTATCTGTGCCAGCCGAATTGATTGCCGACATCATTCTGACAGATCGTTTCAACATCAATATTCTGTCGATAAGGGAGTGTCGGCATCTGAACGAGCGTAAGTTGATGCAGGTGCTGAACTATGCGGTCAGGCCTACACGCCCGAAAGGAAACCCGAGTCTGAAGGGGATATATCATTTTACACCCATGGCACAATCGCGTGGTGCCGTACGCAGTAACTACCGTGACTGGTGGAACTCAAGATGCTCCAGCCAAGGATCGAGCGAGCCTTCTACCACTGGAGAAAGTCCAGAATCACGTGGCGAGCCAACGAGAGATGCATGCAGTCAAAATCCCTGGTACTACCCGTCAGGCAAGATGTTCAAGCGGAAGATAGACGAAGGGTGGGCAGAAACAATCCAGAAGTGTGAGGGTATCATTGCCTTCGACGCTGTGCTGTGTCGGGGTCCGCAGCACAGTATTGAATTGCACAATCCAAGCTTACCGAATGACGAGAGTCCCCAGCCAGAGAGTCGAATGCTTGCGCCGGCAATAGCTACTGTTGCACTTGGCCCCGGAGGATGCGATGGATGCCATTCAGTACCCGAGGGACCGGCGATTTGGGGCGAATCCCTCGAGGAGCGATTTCCTCTGCTTGCGCCACCTCCACTGCATTCATCCACAGTGGCAGCAGCGAGACACCCTGCGCTCATTCCTGACAAGCAAGCTGCGTTAATAGCCCGGTGTACAGAATGCCTAACCGATCGCTGGTGCCATCGTTGTAATAAATGGTTCTGCACCGATTGTTTGCCACATCCAGAGCGCGTAAGAAGCAATCTCACTCCGCATCAGACTGCTACCAGAGAACCCAGAGGGGACGGTTCGAATATAGGCGGGCCTGGTGTGAGCAAGGACTGCTGGGAATGTGGCCCAACGGTGAGTGCCGTGTTTAGAGTCCAGCTAGCGCCTTTCTGATGGATTATCCAGTGTGCCATGTGTAAGGCGGAGTGCCAACGGACATGCAACACCTGCCAAGGAGTTTACTGTGTTGAGCACAATGAAGGGTGCTCCTCGACCCTGGTATGTACAAAGACCCCTACTTTAATGAGGAGAGGCTGACCAAGGGGGAAGTGCGATTGGTGCAATACCAGCACACGCCATCGAGTGAGAGAATTATATTAATTTGATTGTAACCTGGTGCTCTCAATGGTTAATGTTATACATCATTGTGGGTTTTTGTCAGCAGGGGAAACAACTGAGGATTGGGGGTAGAATGCATTGAGAGCGATGTCACTACACCATATATACTCTCTATAGTTTGAATTCAAGATTCGTTAGCTTAGTTGACTTAACATATCATCAACTTGTCACTCAGTGGTTGATTATCAGTAAGTAACGTAACTTAGTAAATACTACGGAGTAACTTACCTAGTCCCTAACCAAGTCTTGCTGTCAATCGGGATGACAAATCCCCGACCTCTTTCTAGAAGGCCCGCGATACTTCGGTTCTCTCTTGCTCTCAGGAATCATTGCTCTCCTACTATTGCCTGCAACCCGCACCCACCCCGTTGAAGCTGCGTGTAGGCAACTTATCTAATCTCGAAGATGACGGGGGTAATGTTTATCAAGCAATCTCCACCCATCCAACATTTCCTCCTGATCCCCACTCTCCGCTTTGGCTGCTTTGCCGATAAGGCACCCTGCTAAACATCACATTCACCCACCACCTACGAATACTGTCCTACGAATACTTTCTTACAAATACTGTACCTACACAGTATAGTACTGTACATACTGAGTATAAGGCTATGGCCTCCGATCAGGGCTCTCTACATTGGTCAGCGCAATTGACTGTCACACCTTTGGATCTCACCCCTCAACTTCCAGGTGATAAAATCACACTGCCCCAGTCGGCTCTCGAGCAACTCCTTGCCGCGGCCCCGCTTCAAGACACCGTCTCGCCTGCTCCTGCGCATCCCTTCACCACCGCCTTCGACCCCTTCAATCCCTCCACATTTGAGACCGAGTCGCGAGCACGCGATCGCGCCACAGAGCGCCAACATCAGCTACCTCAGCCGCTGACATTCCGCATCGTGAATCCTCAAAATGACCGCGTGGTCTTTGCGGGTATTCGAGAATTTTCCTCAAGGGAAAATGAGATCGGATTGAGCACCCTCCTACGAGGCGCTCTCGGATTGAACAATTCGCCGCCATCACCTTTAGAAGAAAATGCTGCCTCGAACATGCCAGCGAAGACCCCATCTGCTACAGTCACGGTGCACGCACATCAGTTACCGAAGGGCACGTATGTGCGCTTGCGCCCGCTTGCAGCCGGATACGATCCGGATGACTGGAAGGCCCTGTTGGAGCGGGTGCTACGTGACAGCTATACGACTCTTACTATCGGCGAGGTCTTGAACGCAGTTAGCGGCCAGGGTGAGCCGTTCCGTTTTCTGGTCGACAAGGTGGAACCTGAGGGCCCCGGAATATGTGTTGTGGATACGGATCTGGAAGTTGACATTGTTGCTTTGACTGAGGATCAAGCAAGAGAAACTTTACAGAAACGGCTAGAAAGGTCATCTCACAGCATGGGCAGTAAGAATGGTACTTCTCCTGGCGGTGAACTCCACATCGGCCATTCGGTCACTGGCCAACTATCACCGGGTGATTATGTCGATTACGAGCTTGCCAGATGGGATCGTGGAGCACCCCTCGAAATTCGTGTTGAAGGCCTTGACAATGCAGATGTATACATTTTCGCCAGCCCACTTTCCGCTCGTCAAAGGAACCGACCAAGGGTGGACGAACATGTTTTTGGTGACTTTTCAACGCAATTTTCGAGGCGACTGAAAATCCAACCAACAAACACCGAGCTCGAGAGTGCTGATGCTCTATACATCTCGGTTCATGTCTTGATGCCTGACGCCTCCTCGATACAAGGTTCCAGGGCAAGCTCACTGGTGTTTTACAAGCTGCAGCTCTCAAACGGCACGGTAATCGAGGAAGACGGACCTCATGTGCGCGAGGGTCCAAGTGATCATGAGCCTGAGGACGTGCAGTGTAAGAACTGCCGCCAGTGGGTGCCACAGCGGACCCTGGTGCTTCACGAGAATTTTTGTCTCCGGAACAATGTGTATTGCCCACAATGCCATAATGTCTTTCAGAAGCGTTCTCCTGAATGGCATGACCATTGGCACTGTCCACATGATTCATCTTATGGAAACAGTCCTTTGGACAAGCAAAAGCACAATGACATCTTCCATACACAGCATTCTTGCCGCGCTTGTGGATACCAGGCAGTGAGCCTCCCGCGCCTTGCCCAACATCGCACGACCGTCTGCCCAGCCAAGCCTATCCTCTGCCAATTCTGCCACCTTGTGGTGCCCCAACGGGGCGAGTCAGACCCTAGCATGGAAAATCCAGAAGTTTTAGTTTCTGGTCTTACCCCGCACGAGCTGGTGGATGGAGGACGGACCACGGAATGCCATTTATGCAACAAGATTGTTCGAATGCGGGATTTAAAGACTCACCTACGCCATCACGATCTGGAGCGTTTGTCTCGGCCCACACCTCGGATCTGCTTGAACGAGAACTGCGGCCGGACTCTGGACGGCCGCGGGACGCAGAATGCGAATCACCTGGGCCTATGCAGTATTTGCTTTGGTCCACTTTATGTGGACACTTATGATCCAGAGGGAAAGGCTTTGCGACGACGCATTGAGCGTCGGTATCTTTCTCAGATGATGTCAGGGTGCGGTAAATCTTGGTGTCAGAATGATTATTGCAAGACAGGGAAGCAAGTCAGGCAACCTAGCGAGTCACTCACTCCGACAAGTGCTGCGGCCATCCTCGCGGCAGTGCGGCCATTGATTGACGCAGTCAACCTTCAAGGCTATACGCCGAATACAGCGCCTTTCCACCTATGTACGGATGAAGTAGGCCAGCAACGACGCTCGCTCGCGGAATTACTCGCCGCAGAAGTTGCAGCAGGAGAGGGGAAATCTTATGACCTGGCATGGTGTGTTGCTGCCGTCGAAGCCTCTGCAGGCAATCTTGATCGATCGCGCGAGTGGCTGGACAACTGGGCTCCGGCTCGTGGCGAGAAAACAAGTATGTTCACGTAGATAGCCAATTGCATTAAGCTAAAGCATGAAATCACAAGAATATTAGTCTTTCTACCTTTGGCACATAAAGTAGAGGGTTTGGGGTCCAACCTTTTTCTAATTTCTTTATTTCGACCACTATCCTGCACCGAATGGGTCCAATCAACACTCGGGTGTAGATCAGCGCGAGATCATCAATAGTGGCAACCTAAGGGATGTCCGACCCAGACCTGTGATGACACTAAAATGCGAAGTCATACTAGAGTTGCGGACTGGACAAGGGTTTGGCGAAGTATACTTTTTTTTTTTACCAGAGTAACTAGACCCGTCAATCAAGGAAGGTTCAAGTACGCCGCTAGCTCAGAAACTCGAAGATGCACTTATGGTATAACTAAAGCAGCGAGAGAAATCATGATATTCATACAAATCTGCCGCGAAGCCAACCAAGCGGTGCCTTCGCTGCGAGGGTGCGGTTCGACTTGCAAACAGCCTGAGTGCAACGCTTAGTCGTTCTAATGTAAAGACTTTGATGGCTGCGCCTCCAGTGTGCGCCCCGGATATCGATTCCGTAGTCTCGGTCAGGCAGCGCCCGTCTTGGCAGCCAGGGTACCACTTCCTCGGGAGGAGAAGATTCCCATGATACCGAAGACCACATAGAAAAGTGCCAGCGGATACGCCACCAGGCCTCTCATGCCGCGCATACGGGCGACGGCGCAGAACATGCCCGAGGAGCTGTAGGTGCACCAGCCAACGGCGGCGGTGGTCAGGAGATAGCCGAACATGGTATCCATGGGGATGAGGATCCCGACCAAGCTCGTCAGCACCAAAGGCAAGAAGCAATAGCCAAGTACGCTGGCGGAGCGGGGGAAGGTCAGGGTTGCAGAGAAATGGCCGGCGGCCGAGGCGTCCGACATGGTGGGTTTGTGGTGCGGGGAGTAGTTGGTGGGATCGGCGGCGTTGGCCACGGGAACCGCGTCGAGCGCGGGCGACATCAAGCTGAGAATCAGGTGCAGGGCAATGGTGCCGAATACCGCGACGCCGTAGATATACCCATAAAAGACCTTGCCGGACAGCAGGAGGAATGTGCCGTAGAGTACGATATAAAGCAGCGCGCCGTAGAGGTCGCTGTCGTCCATCAGGTGCTGATCAATGCGAGCAAAGGGATTCAAGACGGTCAAGGTCTAAACATACAGCATCAATGATATTGCAGGTCAGTCAGAGATGTTCTTCAAGATAGCGGCCTTGTTTTCTTTCTTTCTTTCTTTTCTTTTTTGCGTCATGGCATCCATTACCTTCGTGCGAATGTGTTCAAAATTGACTCCCAGCTCCTCCAAAAGCGGCGGCTCCCCATCGTACCCTTCTGTTCCAAACGCAGCAAGCCACCCCGTCCGTAAACCGCCCTGTTCACCCATCCTGCCGCTCACTCCTGCAGACGGAGAGCCGAAGCCGCCATATCCGCTTCCCACCCCTCCGACGGGATAAGCTTGGGCGGACGGATTAGAGGGACCTCCAAAGCCTCCGTAGGAAGCTTGAGAAGGGGTTGTATGACCGGACACAGACTGGTAGGATGTTGGGTAGAATTGAAGGTTCTGCGCAGAGGCCTGCGCTCCGTAAGGCTGTTGCTGCGGGTAATACTGGGCCATTGCGGCCAAGGTCAGGAGAAGCGGGAGGAGAGGAGAGATTTCGTGAAGAAAGACGCTGGTGTTTTGTTCCGCAGCACCTGAAGATAAGTTAGTTGGCGAGTAAATGGCAGGTTTTGTGAGTGGGTGAGGGAAATTGAGGTAGATGGTGTATGAGAGAGAGGCAAGAAAGAACAGCTGGCTGGCGGTGACGAAAGATGGGGGCCTTACTGATGCCTGAGGTGTGTAGTTGTACGGTACCCGGCAAGCTGGCGACCCACTTCGATTTACGGAGTAAGGTAGAGTCAATCTAAGGTGGAATCAGCTTATCTAATCTATGAATTCTATGAATTCTAGGAATGGACGGAGAGTACAGTACAGTGGTAACAGTGCATAGATAAACAATGGCACGGTCTCAAAATGCTCGACACAGGCTGCTAGAGAATAGAACAACATTCTTCTATTCAAAATGCTACAATACATCGCTCTGGCTTAAATTTTACAGGAAGTTAATGCCGATTCCCATTTGAAGGCCCTTGCGGCCTTCTTCACCTTTACGCAACACCAGTGGCAGGGAGAAGTTCAACTCAAATCTGGCAACTGGATGAGCATAAACCAGTCCGACACCCGCCGCAACGCTGGGCAAACCATTTGCCAGCTCGGAGATGGTCGATACCATGGCATTTTTCACCTCACCACTGGAAGTGGGGACATTCTTGTCAGCCGTGCGAAGTGGCAGAAGACGACCACCGTTCACAAATGCTTGTAGACGGAAAGGCTTGTCGGCACCCACTCTCGGGAGTGGAAGCAGCAAATTGGCACTTCCCGCAGCATACACGTCCCCTCCAACCGCATCCGCTCCATCATGAGGTCCGAGGCCGCAAAGACGAAACCCACGCACATCTGTGGGGCCTCCCAGCAGGAAACGGTCGTTAACGCGAGATAATTGTGGTCGAGAATCCGAATCAAGCCTGAGTGGGTACAAAAGTCCCGCACGGAATCCAGTTGTGAAACTGACGCCACTGTCGCCCTTGAGACCAGGGATGGGAACGGGGACTGCAGCTTGTGTTTCGATCTCCGACTTCCAGAAAGAGACATCACCCTTGAGCGGACCCCAGCCGGCCACCTCATTGAAGACCTTGGCATAGTAGCCCCGCGACGGAAGGAGCGCATTATCCCTCCGGTCGTTAGTCCAGCTGTGGAAGACGCTGCTCTTCACGCTGTCTCCGGCGTCGGCACGAACAGTAGAGGATGCATTTTCCGAAAGGCCAGTCATTTGTCTCCAGAAACCGTTGTATCCAAATTCATGGTGGTGTCCGGACGAGCTCATCCAGCGAAGTTTGCTCCATCCGCCTTTCAGCACCTCCTCGTGGCATGCCCAAGACTTTTGTGTGGCACTGGCAATTCCACCAAGCTCCAAGCGGAAATCGGGGTCGCTGAAAAGTGGGGTGTCGAAGGTGGCCTGGTATGCGGATCTTGTCCTGGTGCCCAGTGAAGCATTCAAGTTCAGGTTCTCTGCGCCTCCAAACACATTACGCCAGAGAAGGTTACCATAAGCAGATCCTTCAGCGTTTCCAAGATCAGTACCCGTCTTGAGCAAGACGCGAGACTTCTCCTTGACCGACAGCAGGACATCAATGGTCGGGAGACCAGTTTGCGGGTCAGCCGGTGATGACTGATCGAGATATACCGAGATCGGCTGTTGAAATACATCTGTAGCCGTATTAGAATCTAACTTGTAGCATAGAATGATACAAGGGAAACCCCACCAAACCTGCCAAGCTTGTCCGCACGTGCCGATACTTCCTGCAAGGCTTCCGAGAGCGTATAGGGCCTAGTATGATTGCTGCTAAGCAGAGGGTTGAATATCTGCTCCAGAAAGCTTCTGCGGGTATGGCGAGCACCATGAACCTGCACTGAAGAGATGACACATGGTAGAGTGGAATTTTGGTCGATCTGATGCCATCATGAACAGCCGCGTTAGTCATTCGTTGCTGATTTGCCCGGGCTTTCTGGCCCAAGGCAGAGCAAGTCGAGGACAGACGAGTCTGCGAGACTGACCAATTCACCGAGGCGATTTTGTGCCTTCTCATAGATCGCTCTGACCCGTTCATTGACAGCTTTCTGCTGCTCTTCCTGCACTTTTGGGTCGGTACGTTGTTGTAGACGCTCGAAGATCTAGAAGCGCGAAAGTCGAGTACGTCGTCAGTCCAAGCGCTTTGTGATAGTCAGTGGGACAGAAAGAAGGAATTGACTGACATCTCCGTCATCGGCGGAAAGTGGAGAAGACATTGCTGCGGCGGCAATGGCCAAACGAGAGACCTTGCTTGCTTGCTTCCTTCACTTTTCCACTATGGCACGGTGATGCGAAGACCTCGGACGGACTGAGGCGATCCTCCCGCGCACGTGACCAGTGGTCCGAAGGATGGGGAGAGGGAGGGGCGCTTAACTTACGGAGTATAGTTAAGTTAGTTAGTTGTTAGTTAGTTAGCCTTTCGGGTCGTCCAGCCGCTGCTCCAGACTTCTGGCGTTTCATCCTTTTTGTGTCTTACCAACATTCACTTTCATGAGCAACCTGCCTGCATTATACAAAAAGGAGAACTGTCTTGCGTCCTGATTTGATTTTTACTACCTTCTTTCTTTCTGGGTTTTTTTTCTAACCCCTATCCATCTCTCATTTTCAATAGCCCGACGTGCGTCGCACGGCCGTTGCTACGAACTATACAGCATGGCGACCAAGGCAGCCTATAAACGGGTGGGTCGATTATCTCCCTGCTTGCGGCCATTTATGCAGTCTTGTCTAATCTTAAAGCAGCTCACTCGCGAATATCAAAATATTCAGAAGAATCCTCCGCCATACATCATTGCCCACCCCTCAGAAACCAACATCCTCGAGTGTGCACCCCTCACCCCGTGATTTGGCTCGAGCCGTTCATTCTTGGATTAATGCTAATATACCTTCTTGATCAGGTGGCATTACATCCTCACCGGCCCTCCGGGTACGCCTTACGAAAATGGTCAATACTGGGGAACTCTGATCTTCCCCCCTGAATACCCATTTGCGCCACCCGCCATCCGCATGCACACCCCGAGTGGTCGGTTCCAACCATCCACTCGCCTTTGCCTCAGCATCAGCGACTTCCATCCAAAGTCATTCAACCCGGCCTGGGAGGTGTCCACGATTCTGATCGGACTGCTCTCTTTTATGACAAGCGAAGAGATGACCACTGGGAGCGTGAGTGCTTCGGAGGCGGAACGGAGGGTGCTAGCTGCACGGTCAAGATGGTGGAATTCCACCGGTGGAGGCTCTCACATCAGTGCTACACCTGGAGTCACTCCTTCTGCCAGAGGAATCAACAATGTCAAGGCTGGAGATGGTGGATTGAAATTCCGTACGGAATGGCCAGAGCTCGACCACGAGAATTGGAGATGGATGAAAGACAGCCGCATCGACACGAACACAGGCCAGCTTCTACCGGACCCCAATACTGCCACCAAATGCTCCCCAGAAACCAGTGCTCTCCGCAGACGGCCCAACGGTAGTGCTCCAGGTTTGGGAGTTGTTGTGGAGGGTGGCCATGTCGCGCGAGAAGCAGGCCAAAGCTGGGTTCGCCGCAACAAGATTTGGCTAGGCTTTGCCATCGCTTTCGGGTATGCGCTGCTTACAAGGCTGGTGAACGACGTCCAGGGATGAGCCGCTTAAATACCTCTTTTCCAATTCAAAGAAATTTGGGCCGATTCCGTGTGAGTAATGCATTGACCCTCAACACACTTCGTCTTTTCGATCACCTTTGTCCAAAGTAAAGGGCATAACGTTTAATCCATCCAATTGACTCGGGGGAATGTTCTTGCGGGCCTATGTGATTCCATGTTTTTGTAGGGCGTTCGAAAAATGGCAAGGCGTCATTTGATCACAACTGGAATATTGTTTTAGGTCTTCAAGAGCTTTGCATTACAATAGCCACTCAAAGTTGCGAAACTGTACATATACAATATAGCGAGAGCAAGAATGACAGATCTCGAGATACCTGCATTGTATATCGGCTACTAATAATTGGTCGCCAAACTACAGACATCACGTGGGCGGCGGGCGGCGGGCGGCGGGCGGGTGGGATTTCCTCCGGATTTCAAATCTGGGAAAAAGTTGTTTTTTTCTGTGACGCCAGTTTCTGTTGACCGTTCGCAGATTCGAATAACAAGGCCTTGCTTGACATCGTCGGCATCAGCTCTGTCCATTTCAGCTACCAACCCTTGTCATCTCCACCGGCATATTTTCTTACAGCATGGGCTGGTTCTGGGCAGATACACAACCCAAGCCTACTCCCGCGGCTCCGAACCCGCTGGCGGCCTCCGACGCCTCGCCTCCGGTATGTCTATCTTGTGACGCTAAGGAACAGGTTAAAATCACTAATTTTCGTGCCTAGCCGGGGTGTCCCATGCACGTTTCCAATACCACTTCTGCTTCGCCGACTCCAGCTGCTTCGGAGGCTCCGAGTGCCTGTCCGGTCCGACCTACTGACTCCCCTTTCTATGCGCCACCCAAGCCGCAATCTCCAAGAAATCAAACACCACCACCACCACCATCCGCTACCCCAGGCGAGACGAAGTCCACTCTTTCGAAACTGAACCCTCTGAATTATATGTTCGCTTCTATCTCTCAGGAAAAAGCTCCCAACCAGACCGTGGATCTCCCCGTGGAACGGGAACTTTCATCCATCCCAAGATCGGACACCGAAGGCAACTGGGAATACCCTTCTCCGCAACAGATGTACAATGCTATGCTTCGCAAGGGCTATACCGATACTCCGCAGGATGCTGTTGAGGCGATGGTTGCCGTCCATAACTTCTTGAATGAGGGTGCCTGGGACGAGATCGTGCGATGGGAGCGCATTTTTTCCAAGGGCCTCGCGGAGGGCTGGGAGAAGTGTCGACGTGGAGAAGAGAACCTCGCAATGGAGGAACTCCGGGAACAGATCTCTGGCTCTTCCCAACAAACCCCTGCGCCGCGGCTCATCCGGTTCCAGGGCCGGCCGCAGGAGCTGACGCCCAAGGCACGGATTCTTCAAGCCCTAGGCTGGATTTATCCGGCTAGGTTTGAGTTAGTATTCCCCCACACTGTTGTTCGCCATTCATGCGCGTCCGTGTCTTTTACTAATACTATCGTTCTCTTACTACAGATCAAGCCCGCCCTTTGATAGACACGACTGGTTTGTGATGCGACAGACCCCAGCGGGCCCGAAGGAGGTTCGTTATGTTATCGACTACTATTCCGGCCCACCGGAACCCAATGGAGAACCGGTGTTCTTCCTCGATATCAGACCCGCTCTGGACTCACCGACCGCTGCCGTTGAGCGGCTGATGAGATGGGGAGGAGATGTTTGGTGGCGGGCTAGCGGCGCCTCAATTCGAGAGAATGGCGGAAACTAACCGATCGTGAATGTGGTTAATGTTGAATTTCTTGGATCTTTTGCACTGGTATACACTCTGAGAAGGCGCGGGCGTCTGACCAATAGTCCTACTCTATGGGACTGTTCTCCTGTTTTCTGTGGCTTTTGATTTATATCACCCCCCTCTCATGTATCATGTATTCTTTACTACCTTTTGCTGTGAGCTCCTTCAACGGTCAAGTTGTCCGTGGAGGACAACGACCGCAATGATTTCTTGTACTCGGCTCAGGTATATTTTCTCATTTCTCTACTTGGCGCCGCGAATCTAAAATTCGTTCTGGAATCTGTTCTACATGTAATATAGAGTGCGTTCTGAATTTGTTAATGCGGCGGTTGCATCGCGATTTGTATTCATCGTGGTTCATATTCTATCGATGTTCTAAGTATCAATAAGATTACGCGAATCTGTACATCAGTGCCAAGGACTTGCTGTTGACCTTCTGATTCGATCTCTCTTCAGATGTTAGGGGACAGCAAGTCATATTTGACGCACTGCTCAACGCTGTCGATGCTGCTCTGCAGCAGTTCACGCGCTTCAAGTCCAACCCAAATACGGAGCATAGACACATCCCCGGACCGAACGGATCTCAGGGAAGTGACATTCGAACCGAGTTTTCGCAGTATTGGCAGGGCACTATCGGCTGCATCAGTATAGAAGCTTTGCGCGTCATTCATCGGACAGGCCCACCTTTTGAATAGATCGAGATCCGGGTCCAAGTTCCGGCCAATACCCTCGAGAAGAAGACAGGAGATGACGACATTGACGAAATCCCCTTCCATCCGAACATGATGACTTCGGACCATGGACAGCACCTCACTCAAAACATCGCCAATTTTGACGCTGCCCAGTGCGAACGTCCGCGACTTGACATTCAAGACCAGATGCTCCATTCTCAATGCAAAGTAATGAGGGTCAATCACAGCTTCTGGCTGGCGGCAGCGCTCAACCATAAGCTCACCCGCTCGGTATCCATCGAACTCGGCAATCGCGCGAAACAAATCGATGAAATTTTTGCGGTTGAGGTCGTTTAATTGAGTCACGAGTCCGGTATCAATAAAGATAAGTTGTGGTCGATATCCTTCTGCGTTCAACTGGTCAAGTACCGACTCCCAATCACGCCGATTACCGGCATGCGGTCGCAGCCGAGCAAGCACAGACTCTGTGACATCAACCTCGGCTGTAGTTGGCGCATCCGATGCACGGCTTTTGTTGCGGAGAGACAGGTCCAATTCACTTGGCTGATAGAATCGTACCATGATGTTTCCTGGGTGTAAATCAGCGTGGACAAAGTTGTCGATCAATAGCATGTGAAGGAATGCATCCAGGCCCTCATTGGCGATTTCTCGTTGGTAAACCCCTCCGCCGACGTCAAGGAAGGTCGAGAGGGGGATTCCCTGGGCGAACTCTTCCACGAGCACCTCTCGGGTCGAATAGTCTATGTACGGATAAGGAAACCAGGCTGTAGTCCGGGTTCTGAATTTCTCCCGAAACATGACCAGGTTTGCTGCTTCGATCCTCAAATCGAGCTGCAGCTTCATCATCTCTCCGAATTGGTTGACTTCGTCCGGCAAAGACAACCAGTGCATTGTAGGAATGGCATTGATCACCGAGGCAAAGAAGGACATGATCTTCAAGTCCCTATGGATCATGCGCTCCACCTTGGGATGCAGCACTTTGACGGCTACGTATGACGAAGGGACCCGCTGGGGGCTGCTCTTGACCAATGCCTCCACATTCTTTCGGACCTTCCCCCGTAAACCGGACGGTTGACCGTCGAACTCACCATCGTCTGTTCCCGCGAGGTTGGGTTTCAATTTTGCTTTATAGACCTGGGCGATGGCCCCTACTCCCAGGGGCTCCTCATGAAATTCTTCGAAGATATCTTCGAAGGGCAGGTTGTTGAAGGCCTTACTTATGATCTTCTTGGTCTGGCGTAAGGAGTGTGCAGGCGCATTCGAGTGGAGAGAAGACATGATGTCACACAGATCGGGAGGAAATATGTCGGTACGTGATGCTGCCCATTGTCCGAGCTAAAGAAGAGACGTCTGTTACAAAGTGTAGCAAGCAAAAGTATACGGCTTGGGACTTACCTTGATGAACGCTGGGCCTGCACGTTCCATGGACCGCACTAGGAACTTGTACCACCAAATGGTCCCCAACGGCACCGCTTCCCGATTCTTCCCATGTCCTCCAAGGCATAAGATGGGTGCCGTGAACACGACAGGCAGGAAAATAATGAGCAGGTGGACAAAGCGAAAACCGGTAGCTATCGGATCGTATACGAAGCGATACCCGTAAAGTACAAAGGTTTGCCAGAGCCTCGACAAACCCCTTGCTTCCTCGTCGACTTTCTTCTGGATCTCTCGGCGTGAGACTTCAAGCATCTGCATCTCACTTGTCTTGCCACGTTCCCCGTTCCCTTCCTCGGCAAGCTTCAAAAATGCCCCCGGAGCCAGCGCAGCAAGGAGTACCCTCCGACATCCAGGGGCATTTCCTGAACGTCTCGACCCGGATTGTCGCGACCATATTGGCTGACGGCCGAAGCGCGGTCGAGACAAATGGGGAAAGCGGGATAGTAGCGGCGGGCCTCTACCACGACACACAATGAAGCGGCCAAAGAGGACGGCCGTCCTCATATTCTCATATAGAAAAGTTTCGAGTAGCGGATAGAACGGTCATTGAAGAGCAAGACAGAGGCCCCGCGTGAGCATAATGACAAGAGGGGGACGGCCATCAGTGTTAGAGAAGAAGGGAAGAAAGAAGAGTAGAGTGAGTAAATGAGTGAGTGAGTGAGAATTGGAGCTGCGCGGGCGGCGGGCAGTGGCCGAGCACGTGGTTGCGACGTCATCGTCACCATCGTCATCACCAGCATCAACAACACCAGAATGATCAACAGACAAACTACTTAGTACTATTCATATGTAGTACTATGTAAGTACTAAGCGATATGGCCGACCCTTGGTTCTGGAATCTTTCTGTCCATACCCGCTTTTTCCGATCATCAGCAAAGGAGATTTGTCAATTTGTCACCGGGGAACTCTCCTCTCGCTCGACTCGGTTGACTCGGCAAAAAGTCCAAATCCGGCTGTCATGCGTTTACTCGGCATGAACTATCGACGAAAACAGGTCTCTGTCTCTGCTTCTGCGGTAACTGTAATCTATAACATAGAGCCCACTGCACTCGAAGTCGCTCGATAGCTTTCTACCTAGACCAAGCTCTGCGGAAATGTGAAGACATTTCAAGTCAATCTGATCATTCGATCTCAAACATGGGCCATTCTGACTACAAACGTGATCCCGAATCTTTTCGTGACACTGCGCCGAAACGCCCTTGGTGGACGCCCTTCTCGCTATGCCTCACTTTCCTGTGCCTTTGTCTGCTCAGGGTTATAATAGTCCCTCACTACTTCGGCCGATGGTCTTTTAGCTGGGGCATCCTACCTAGACTCGGAAAGAACAGTTCGCTCGCTCCCTTCTATGCCTACTCCGAAGGCTCGGGTGAATTCGACAAGCCCCAGGGCTTTGATATCGTTGCCTTGGTTCCGTTTCACCATTGGCAGCGCACCGAGATTCTGAATTGTTATTTGCAAGTGAGTAAGGACCGCTTTCTGCAGTGCCAAAAGTTCATCGGCTTACTTGGACCGCAAGAACAATCTCGTTTCCAACCATGGTCTCGTTGATCAAGTCGTGTTTCTGCCCCAAACGAACGATACGAGGGGCCTGGAATGGCTCGCATCGATAGTCGAGCAGAACCCATTGTACACGCTCGCGCAGGGAGAGCCCGGTTCGCAACTGGATCGATTGAAGCAGGACACACTGTACATTTGGATCGATGGCGACATCGTGTTTCTAGAAGACCATACGATTTCGACGGTCGTCAAGACCAAGCTCGAACACTCCGGTCTGCCCTTGGTTTCGGCGAACGTCATCAACGAAGCAGCCTTGGAGGCCCTCCATAGCCATGCCAGCGTCGCCTTGCCTTATCTCCCGGAGCTGAGCCCCACGCAGTCGTCATCCGAGGCCGACATGCACGATTGGCGTGCCTCGCATCTCCCGCCATGGCAGGGGCCCAATTATTTTACCGTGAAGAAGGAATTCGCTCCGCCCTTCACCAGCCACCGATGGCTCCTTTCGGGCTACAGCAACTATAGCCGCACTCCCATCAGTATGTCGAAGTACGCTCCGGAAGGGCCTAGTATGCATCACTGGACTGTCAACGCTCAGCAACATTACTCTTTTCTGCACCACTTGGAGCTGAATCATCTCAATCGGTACAAATTCCCCACGTGGAGTGTGCCGTCAACAAACGTCAGCCTGAACTTCCTTTGCTTCTGGGGCAGTGTCGCAACGGGTCGGTTGCTCACGGAGTTCGATGGCATGACATTTTTGGAAACCCTCGCAGACGACCAAAGGGGGAAAAATAGTATAATTGATGGGAAAGGATTGGCTGTACACTATTTGAGCAGCCAGGGTCCGGAGGGTCTAGATTCTACTGATTTACTCAAACGATATCAATCGTTTGCAGAAGAGGCTATCTGTAAAGGCATATAGGCTCTCTGTGGCCGGGATTGAAGTAGAGCAGCACCATGGGTGTTCTATTTAGGAATTATTGGTGGACTGAAATGCACATTTAGGATCAGCGATAGATATCGAAAAATTTAAATCTAAGCTTTGATGTGGGTATGTGAGCACCTTGCTCTTTCTCCGATTGACATGCCTTATAAGGTTGGTTAATTGTGCTTTTTCAGTTAGTGAGCTGAAGGTGTCTGGAGGCATGGCTGTTCATCAGTCTTTGCATACTGGCCTTCGAAGGATCCGGGAGGGTGTCCAACTGTAGAATATGATTAGTGTATCGCAGACGCGGTGATTAGAGTCCGGATCAACTTACATCACTCTTCAGCAACTCTTGCATAAGCACGATGATGTTGCCGCGATCCTTGTTGAGTTGCAGGTTGTCTGCCTCGGTGGAATCGGTAGAATCTGCAGCAAGCACTTCCTCGAGCACTGGCAGAATGCCCATTTTCTCTATACATTTCGAGGCTACAATCAACCCACCTTGTGTCGACGCCATCAAAGCAAGAGTAAACCAGCCCTCGCTCCGAACAACTGGCCATTGTGACTGGGTGATCATGGCACCCACAGGTAAGGAAACATCGTCGTGCAGCTCAAAGGCTTTTCTAAGGAGGCCCTCGGCATCGCTATCCTTCTCACGCACTCTGGGGACCAAGGTGCGGCATATAGAAGCCACGATGCGCCCAATCTCCGTTTTGATGGGGGCTGAGTCTGTTTTTACAAACAGCGCGAGGAGCAATGAGAGGTAGGTCTTCTCTTCACCCTCGACCTCCTTGTCACCCACGGGAGCCTCCTCAAGCAAGCGAGCGATGTTCCCCACCGAGGAGATGATCACCTGCCGTGTGATACTAGTTGCAACAAACTGGACCTGGGGGACTGTCTCATACTGCCAGAGGCTTGAAACGGCAGGAATAAGGCCTGCCTCTCCGAGCCGAACTTTATTGATACCGGCAACTGCCAGGTTTTTTAAAAAGCCGAGTGCAGAGTGGAGCACTGCACCCCTGGCTTCGCTTCTCAGAAGCGATATGAGCGCCTTGTGAATGTTCAGCTTTTCAACCATCTCTTCGCAGACTGCATCCGATCTTGCCAGATTGCCAAGAACAACACACGAACAGATCTGAAGCTGGTCCTCCTTTGCCTCCAGCCAAGAGCCCAGTAAGCGCACAAGATCGGAATCAAGCGGATAGAGCTCTGCGAATAGCGGCAATGCGGAGACTTCGGCTAGAGTCTGATTTATCTTCAACCGGGCCTGTGCCAAGGCATGCATGTCCTCTTTGGAACATTCGTCATCCTTGAATAAAAGCGATCGCTCGAGAACTGATAGAACCTGGGGCATCAAGCCATTAGACAGACACGTGGTTTGAAATCGCGTTTTGTTCAAGTAAGCACCGAGACAAGTAACGAGAGAGGCATAGTGCGCTGGAGATAAGCTCGCCCTCTGTTCATTCAGCAGGTCTAGAAGAAGCAGTAATGTGGCATCTGGGGATGAGGAAATCCCTTGCTCTGTGAGGATACCGTTAGTCTAAGGAGAGTCTCAAGGGTCGTTCGTCACGCATACCTTGTTCCCCAGCCAGTTCAATAAGCTCGTAGACATAATCAAGTAGAGCCTGGTGCTTCGCAAAAGCGTTATCCTTCAACAATCTCAGGAGAATATAGGTAATCTTGTTGGCAGCTATCTGAGACTGGGCGGGTTCTATACAATGTCAGCCCTGAGGAATGTCCATTCGGAAAGAGTACAAATCAGCATTTACCAAAATCAATGCATATATTATATAGGACAGGTATAGCCACCTGAATAAGCTTTGTGTTTGCCAGGTGTCGTATAATGGCGGAGGTGTAGTTTTTTTCAACTAGGATCTCCCTGTTCTCATCTACCTAGTAGTCAGTGCTAGACTACGCTATGGCACGGACAAACGCGAAACTTACTCGTATCAGCGCAGGAATTTCCGACTAGTCGCAATGCTTGCAGGAGAAGGTCATCATCGATAGCCTCCGTTGATGCTACAAGCCGGAGAAAGAAGTCTAGTATACCAGCTTGCCCATACAAAACGCGCCAAGGTGCTGTAGCTCGATTAGGATACCAACAATGGCTACAATGGACGGCTGCCTTACCATTCCTACTCCCATTAGCCAGAGCCTCAGCGGCCGGTAGCAGATACTTGGTCCTGCATTTCCAGAGTTTATAGAGAATCTTTTCATCGTCTATAAAGGCTTCAATGGTACATCGCTCCTCTGCTTTCCTTAGCGACTCCTGTAAGGAAGTCAACAAAGACTGTTGATCTTCAAGTGGCACCGGTTCAGACTCTTCCACCACCAGTCCCATAGGCGAGAGGGCCAAAGTCGAGAACACTTGGTCCAAGTCTGGACACTCAATCCCCTTTGATGGCGCTGCTTCCGTCATTGCACACGACGAACCAATGGCCACATCATCGCCTTCTTTGGCCCTTAGTACGTCTGGTGCGGTGCTCATCTTTCAATTTGCAGTTTGAACAACGTATCAGTGCATCAAGCTTGTTTGATAGCCTCAATTGAGCCAATGTATCTCGGATACAATGGTGGGCAGATGGCGGCCTCTGTTTCTGGCTAAATCAGTTTTATCCAAAACCGAATCTTCCGTCAGGTCGACAGTATCGCTGGAAGGATATATATACGAATCTGTCCCTTCCCTTGGCCCGGGGTCTCGGTTCCCACTGAAAGACAAATGAGATGTTTCTTGTTTCTCTTTGTAGATTGAAGCAGAAGAGAGAATCGGTAGTAGGTTGGTAGTACCATGGAGTGTGAGGCACCAATTAGTTAAATATTACCTTGGTTCTGACAAACGTGACAGATCAAGGCGTATCGAAGTCGAGGTATACCTGGGACTTTGTTGCAGTCTGCGACATGCGACATAACCATGGTGAAGCTGTTCTTCTTACTGCTTACTTCTCATCTGATAGCATTCGAGTGAGGAACCCCAGTTACTTCCATTAGCATCTTGGGTTGGGGGGGGGGGGGGGAATTGCAGTGCTCTCCTGTTAATGTAGTGTCCAGTGTGTCAAGCATCAACAGAAACTGGTAATGTGGTAATACGAAAGGTATCTTACCAGATGCCAACCTGTCATGAGGGGCGGCGGCAGCAGTACGGTGGACACAGCGGCCATGGGGCGCAGCCGGTCTCACCTACAGCGCGTCTATACCGCGAAGAAGGACAGCACTGCGGTTCTTCAATCTAGTCACTCATTCCTATAATTCAAAGCACCCCTTCAACAAACCTTTCGCCTCGTCCGTCACATTGTATCGGCCTGATCCCCTGTTTTGTGCTCGGACTCGTACTCAACAGGCAAACCAAGATCATCAAATCACTATGACGCGTGCTCAGCAGACCCTCTCCGTTCTCCTGCTCGTCTCCTCGGTATGATGGATAGCCTCGCCCTCACAACTCTATGTTGATCGCTAATGCAAAGTCCTGGATTCAGCTCTACCTTTCTCTATACCTGGGCCTTGTTCCTCTCAACGAAACCATCCAGAATGAGATCATTCCTGTCGTACGTCCTGCAATGAAACCCGGCTCTTTCTCTGTCCCCTGCCTCTTACCCCGCTGACCATCTGCGTCTTTTTTGAACCAGCTTCCCTTCTATGCTCTGATATGCTTCGGATGCTACCTCCTCGGCCGCTTGGGCTTAGCGATTCTCACCTTCAACGATGTCCCGGAGGCGCACACGGAACTGCAAAAGGAGATCGAACAGGCCAAGGCCGAATTGCGTAAAGCGAACATCGACGTTGACTGAAGTCATTAGCGCAGGCGGACGGTTGGACCATTCACACCTCCAGCAATGTACTTTATTGTGTGGAATCTGTACAATTTATGTTTATCCGATAACGCATCGCATATGAGAGGGGGGTTGGCGTTTGGTGCGGCACATCCACAGGCATTGATTGCTACGGACAAGGATCGATATTACAGGGGCTGCAAAAGATTGGCTGTAGCTTAGGATTTATCCAATGGATGATTCCTATAATTATATCGCTTCACCTGTGATGCAGTAGTCTGTCATCTAAGCTATGCAGGGTCCTATAGGCAATCTAGACCAGGATCAGCTAGGTCAAGGACAATAACCCGAGCTGCTTCAATCTTGTTGTGCCGGACGTAGATCCAGCAGGGTACGCTGAAATGTGGGGATTTCCCGTAACTAGTTATGATGGTTCGGAGGTTTTAGCGCAGTATTCGAAGACGATACGGCCGTCTTTCTAGTTCCGTGGGCATGACGAAATATCACATTCGCGAAACGGGCGGGATCGTCCACATCGAATAAAAAGTCGCAGCATTTTGGCATGCAAAGCCAGACGATTTGATCTTCAGTGGTCTCTTGCTTTTATTCTATAAAAATCAATCAAATAACACCATCCAGCAATGGCCAATGTCGAAAAAAAGAGTATAATGTGTCTTGTAAACCGAAGCGATGTATATGCATAATAGATGAACTGGGATGCAGGAACGGCGGGTCCGGTGCATCGAGCGTCGGATAAGTCATGCAGGTGTTGACGGACAAGGAGCTTAGAAGAGAGGGTTTTCCTTGGCCAATCGGTCGTGCTCATCAATGTCCCTGTTGTAGTGTGTGTCAATAACACCTAACGGCTGCAGAACATTGGATAAATTGCGGAAGAACAACATACTTGGCTTCCCAAGGATAGCAGATCCATACATCCTCGGTAGTAACCGCGGCATGGTAACGACCGGAATCCATCATATCAGCTGGCAAGACACCCTTCTTGGACTTGTTCTTGTTCTGTTTACCAGGTCAGAAAACTCCGAAGTTCTTCTCGGGAGTGGGAGAGCATGGAGAGACTTACGTGAAGCACGAAAATAGAGAAGTTCGTCTTCTCGCCTTCCCGTCCAAGCTGCTTCTGCGCGTCCTCGACATCCTTCTGGAGCTCGCGCACGGCGTATTCGAGGGTCGTGCGAGTGTCGTCAACCTCATCAACAATGAGAATGTTTTTGCCAATCAGGTTCGACATCTCCAAAGAGCTAAGGTCGAGCCACTGTGTCCGGGTGACCTTGGTACCAGGGACCTCCTCGGGATCGCCGCGGCCGAGGTCCTCGTAGAGAGACAAACCGATGGCTTGGATGGGAATGTTGGGCTCGCCCGAGCGCTTCAGGAAAGATCTAGGCACGAGAAGAATTAGAATAGGCACCTCTGGGTTTCACCCAACGTGGGCTGCCACGAACCGGAGGATACGAGCAGGAACATAACCACCACCACCAATGGCGATCATCAAATTAGGGCGGATAGTGGACAGGATCTTGTCGGCAGAGTCCTGGCATAGTTTGTGGACCTATCACGCTCCGATAGACGTTAGCCAAATTATTGACAATAAGTTGATAAACTCATGCTGGACTGGCGGGACAGTGCGCGCACGCGGACAGTGATGAACGCCTCAACGAGTGAGATACTGCGCGAGAGGGGGGGGTGACGCAAATGTCTGGTCTGCAAGGGGCCAAAAAAGAAAAAAGCAAGCATACCTGGTTATAGGTGACATAGTACTTTTGCGTCATTTTGGCGGCGGAGAGGCAAGTAGGCACAAAGTGTTGAATACAGTGAGTACGATAGTAGAGAGATCGGGATTGAATCTGGTGGATTGGTGGATTGGAACTTTGACTGAGCACAGCAGCGGAAAGTAGAGGGGGAAAATTTTTCTAGAAAATGATCGTGCCACAAAAGATAAGACAAGCAATGAGGGGTAAATTTAGGGACACTGAAGAAGAAATAATTATCCAAATTCGAAATTTCTTCTCTATGTCTTTTTTGTTTTCTCTTCTTTTTTTTTCCCGTTTTTGGTTTCCTTACTTAATGACGCACTAAGGGAGTCAAGGCTGCACAGAGCCAAAGACTGGGGATAAGCAGAGGATAAGGTTGCCCGCCATCGCCCGCCTGCCAAGTGCCTAACTAGACATGCAAGGGACCTATCAGCTTACAGTTCCGGCCGCTAAATCCCTGAACTGCCCCGCAGTCTCGCTTCCACAGAGACGGAGTCCGGAGACCTCCGGTAGCCTATGTTAGTTTGTAGGTAATGTTTGTATGGGCTTCGAAAATGTATTCATGCATGTACTGTCCGTCTATGGCACTACAGGAGATATACTCAAATATATCAACTTTGTCCTGTGGCTTCAAAGCTCCTCAAGCCGTCTGTCCATGGGGAGTCGGGGACCGTGTGAGTGGTAGAAAAGGCGCGCACCTTGACCGAACGGCTTCTGCTAGTTTAGGTTTTTATAGTCGTCCTTACCTGATTGTCTATAGTCAGACCTGGCTCTTAGTGCTTGGTGGCTCAAGAGGATCATGGACCAAGTTAAGTCAACTCTAACAATCTCCTGTTTTGTACTAGCATAGCCGGTTTTATCTGGAATCGGAATTTCTATGCCACTTAGTCCCTGGTTACTAGCGACCATGACACCATGTGCATTGGGGATCCCACCTCATTGGATTCCAGACTATAGTTTAGCGGGGTAGATCTGAAGCAATAATACAGATTGAGTTATCAAGCTCCCATATTGTGTACCCGGGGCCTTTCGCAGGATACCAGATCAATAACCTCCAAATTAGAGGGGAGTGGCAGGTGTTTATAAGGCCGAGTATGCCTGCAGGTATTGAGTGAATATATCACCCGATTCATGTTGTACGCAAGCTTTGAGACCTGTGGATTGGGTTATCTTTTTCGCAATATTCTTGTGCGCCAAATCATCATCTATCATCCTCATATGTGATAGAATTAGCTTTTTACACATATGTCTTTCCTTTGTACGGAGTAATTTATTTTATACATGAGATGGATCTCTTATTCCAGATTGTCAAGGGTAATGGCAGGCAGGCACGCGCACGGGTACTTACCGATGCTCACTACGAAAAGGGTTTCTTGGCATGATCCCACCCCTGCAAGCTCATGACAAGAGTAAATGCCGAGGTTCATATATATGTCCCCAACCGTGTGACCGCTATGATCAAAAGTTGCAATTGTACCAAACAGCACCTGTGTACTGAGACTTACGGATATTAACACGCAAATCAAAATATCATACAATGGCCGGCATCGATGACAAGCAAATGTCTGTCCTAATCACAGGGTAAGCTTTAAAATACCTCCTCGATGTGCTTGTGATTCACATGACACCTTGTGAAGCAGCCTTACACAAACACTTAATGGATAGAAACTGACTGCAACGATACATAGGTGTTCCCCCGGTGGAATAGGTAACTCGCTGGCTCGTGAGTTCCACAGAAATGGGCTACGCGTGTTCGCGACAGCAAGAAGTGCAGACACCCTGCAAGATTTGGCATCAATCGGTATTGAAACGTTGAGCCTTGAGGTGGATGACCAAGAAAGACCAAGAAAGCGTACAGTCTTGCTTCTCAGACATCAATGCTAGACTCGGGGGCAAGGGACTCAATTACCTAGTGAATAATGCGTGAGAAAACTTTATACCCAGTTTGAGTTGACGCGCTGACATGCTCTTTAGAGGCCGCAGTAAGTTCTGACTGGTGATGATCGGGTAATCAATGGATAAAGACTGATCTCACAATGGACAGATTACACGGTCCCAGCGATGGAGGCTGAGCTCTCGGAAGTTCGCGCAACTTTCGAAACCAACCTCTTTTCAGTCATCTACATTTGCCAGGTTTTCTTGCCTCTTCTCATCAGAGCCAAAGGAACCATTGTACAAGTCGGAAGTGTCGCTGGGGTATGCATCTACCACGTGAACTAAAAGCCGAGAGAGACGCGTCGGGATTTGCAGGCTGGTGCTAATGCTGACCCAGATTATTCCATATGTCTTTGGGTCGGTCTACAATGCCTCGAAGGCCGCCCTGCATTCATTCAGTGATACCTTACGGGTAGAACTCGCTCCTTTCGGGTATGCGCCCTGCCCTCCTTCTTGCCCGCAAAGGCATCTCTGACCTTTCTAGGGTCAATGTCACCACGATCGTCACCGGAGGTGTACAATCCCGTATTGCTCGGATCAAACGTACGCTCACTCCCAACTCAAGGTATCTCCCAATCGAAGAGGAGTACAATCGACGCGTGGTTCACAGTCAGGATGGGGCCATGCCAAATTCCGATTATGCGCGGAGTGTGGTCTCACAAATACTATATGGACCAGCCCCATTGCGTTGGGTCTGGCCATGGGCGCCAAGCCGTAGCTGGATCTGGGAAGGTAACAAAAGTTGGGTTGTTTGGCTTCTCAGTGGGGGGTGGGCTTGGACTGGCCTGTTCCATTTTATGATGACAAGAATGTTCAAGCTTTACAGATTGAAGAAGGTGGAAGATGGGAAAAAGGCCTTGTGATTTCTTCCAGGTTTACTGGTAAGGGGTCCGTTGTAGTGGGATTTTGTGCTGAGGACGAGCTTGGAAGATCCAATGAGGTAAATTGATCTGGTCTTGGGACAGTCAAGTATGAGCAACTTAGCTAAGGTTTCCACCTTATCCTTTGCGCCTTCTATTGATAACACGAGAAGGATTGAGTCAAGTAGAGAAATATAAAAAAAGGAAGCGCGGCATAGGTACCTTGTAGTATCTACCTAGTATCTGCTCAGGCAGTTGTTCGGGATCTTTATGGCTTACTCATGCCGAAAATGCACGCTGGTTGGCCCGTCAGGTGACCTCTCCGATTGCTACCGCCCGTAACGTCCCAAGGTAATAATATCATCCCGAGTTTCGTAGCCGCGAAAAAGAAAGCTGTTCTCCCATCAGCACCCAACTTCCTCCCTCCCTTATCACCAAACCTCACTTTGGAGGATCTTCTCATTTCTCATAAATCTAGCCTCTCTGACAGGTGTCCCTTGATTCCTCTCCCCTCTTTATAATTTCTTTTCCTACCTGGTGTCAAAATGTTCAAGCTTGCCCGCAGCAAACCGGTTACCGCGGCCTTGAGAGCTGCGACGGTGAGTTATCCTTGCCTACTGAAAATTGTGTTCTTCATAATCCATATGGTCTCATCTGCTAACACTTGTGGTTTCTCATAGGAGTCTTCTGTCCAGTCCCGCCTGGGCCAGCAGCAGAGAAACCTCTCCATCCACGAATACCTGTCCGCGAACTTGCTCAAGTCGGTACGGCACACGCGCGCTATCTACAACCATGTTCTGGCTTTTTCCGGTGCTGACAAGTCGCTAGTATGGCGTTGGAATGCCCAAGGGTGAAGTCGCCCGCTCCGCAGAGGAAGCTGAGGCCGTTGCCAAGTCCCTCGGTGCGTTTTTCCATGCTTACATTTCGAGTCGCGGTTCGCTAAGACTATGATAATAGGTAACGATGATATGGTCATCAAGGCTCAGGTTCTCGCTGGTGGTCGTGGCAAGGGTACTTTCAGTAACGGTCTGAAGGGTGGTGTGCGCGTGATCTACTCGTGAGTGTGACTGGGAGCGTCAGATTTGCTTCTGTCTTTTAACATGAACCATTTTTTCTCCAGGCCTACCGAGGCAAAGATGTTCGCTGGACAGATGATTGGAGAGAAGCTTATCACCAAGCAGACTGGTGCTGCCGGTCGTCTTTGCAACTCCGTCTACATCTGTGAGCGCAAGTTCGCTCGTCGCGAGTTCTACCTCGCCGTTCTCATGGACCGAGCTACCCAGGGTCCTGTCATTGTCGCCTCGTCTCAGGGTGGTATGGATATTGAAGCTGTCGCTAAGGAGAACCCCGACGCCATCATCACTACTCCTATCGACATCAAGGTTGGAGTCACCGACGAGATCGCCACGAAGATCGCTACCGAGCTTGGCTTCTCTGAGCAATGCATTGACGAGGCTCGCGACACTATCCAGAAGCTGTACAAGGTCTTCATGGAGAGGGATGCCACCCAGATCGAGATCAACCCCCTCTCCGAGACTTCTGACCACAAGGTTATGGCCATGGATGCTAAGCTGAACTTCGACGACAACGCCGAATTCAGACAGAAGGAGGTCTTCGAGTGGAGAGACACCACCCAAGAGGACGCTGATGAGGTCAAGGCTGCTACGTATGTTCTTCAAGTGGATCAAACTGATTCGAAGAGTTTCTAATCCGGGTACAGACACGGCTTGAACTTCATCAAGCTTGACGGTGATATTGGATGCTTGGGTAAGATCAAATACAAGAGCTCAGATCAATATGCCTTCCGCTAATCTTCAGTGCAGTCAACGGTGCTGGTCTGGCCATGGCCACCATGGATATCATCAAGCTTAACGGTGGTAACCCCGCCAACTTCCTCGACGTCGGTGGTGGTGCTACCCCCGCTGCTATCAAGTCCGCCTTCGAGCTTATCACCAGCGATCCTAAGGTGACTGCCATCTTTGTCAACATCTTCGGTGGTATTGTTCGTTGCGACGCTATCGCTCAGGGCTTGATCAACGTCGTGCAGGAGATGGGCCTGCGTACTCCCATCGTTGCCCGTCTTCAGGGCACCAACATGGAGCAGGCGAACAAGCTGGTATGAACACCCATGGCTTCTCATCATTCTTAGTATGAGCAAAGTACCGAGCTAACCGTATTGTCTTTGTAGCTCAACGACTCTGGCCTCAAGATCTTCTCCATTGAGGATCTCCAGAGCGCTGCCGAAAAGTCGGTTCAGTTCTCCAAGGTCGTCAAGTTGGCTCGCGAGATCGATGTCGGTGTTGAGTTCACTCTTGGTATCTAAATTCCATGTCGACATAGAGCTGCGTCTCCTTAGCTGATGCTCCACTATCTCTTGTATTTTTCTCTTCTTTGTTTTTCTGCAATTTCTTTTCTTGATATCTATATTCTTCTTTCTGGTGGCCGAGAGGACAGGAAGATTCGAGTTCAAATATGCAGCGAGATGCGGAGTTATTGGCCGAGGAGGGCGACAGCCTTTCTTTCTTAAGGTATGATGCTAACGCACTGCTGCTGCTTAGAGAATGATCGGTCATAAGGAGTTGCCCACGAGTTAAACATAATGGTGATACACGAGATGGATCCAGGCGAGAGTACCTGGGAAATTCTTATAGATGGTTCTGTATATCGTCCATGTCTAGGTTCTTATTGTCAATGTCTTCGTTACAATGATTTAGAATACTCGTGCCATTTGAGGACAATGGCTGTCCCGCTAGAATTGGCTTCCCAATCCCAGAGCCTGATTAGCGAGACATCAGGTCTTAAGAATCATCCGTAAACTCAGCGTGGGCCAGAGTAGCATCTTCTACAGGCCAGGCTCTTGTCTCGGTCTGGTGAACCTGGAGAACAAACTCCCGATCCCCAAGGAAAAAAGCGTCCGCATCGTGACAGCTCGGATCCATTCCTCTCGCCGCTCGATGGGGCGGTTGGGCTGATGTGTTAGATACCCATAGAGCTGGTCTGCCACCGTCCTCCCTGAGGTAGTACAGTAGATTGTGGTCCACAGCCGCCGCATTCAAAAAATGATAGGGCCTATCATCCCAGGTGAATTCGTGCAGACTGATTTCATCCGTTTGAGGGTCGTAAGTAGCTATAATCCATTGAAACGATCGCGTGACGGCCCCGTTCAATGGTGACTGCACGAAGAACACCGCGAATCGGTAATGATTATTGTCCCAAGACCGGCTCAGCATCTCGAGCGACCAGTCCCGATGAACGGCGGATAATGGAAAAGCGCGCTGGGTGTGCGCATGTCCTTCGCCATCCATGGAATATTTTCTTATGCACACTCGGTACGTCTCCAGAAGTTCGATATGAACAACGACAAGGGTCTTGGTGGCGGGCAGCAAATCTAGTACTGCCACTTGGGGAACATTCTCGATTGTGTGAGCGGTACGCGACCACATGTCCCAGTAGGTCACGAATTCTGTATCGATCTTGTCCCCAGACTCCGTGACCGTATAACTGTTGTAGGCCACGGCGACTGTGTTGTCGCGTACCGCAAAGCCGGTCACGTTGAGGGATGGGATACGGAACCAGGCGTGCTCCTCGGTCTCCAGATCCCAAACATGACAATACCTGAGGGAAATCAATATATCCTATGAGCCCTTGCACGCACTACACCTCAATATCATCCGATCATGTTTCTCGAACTATCATCTAGACAAAGGGGAGTATAAGAAGAGGGGGAAAAACAAAACTTACGCGCGAGTGCTAGTCGCTACAACCACGGAGTTCGAGATTCCCACCAATCGAAAGCGATCACGGTTTTCGGTGCAAAACTGCTGCCTTGTAGAGTTGCGAATACTGTGTACAACGAGGAGGTCGGGGCTCCTAAGCCATGCAAACCTCCCGTGGGCGTAAGCGAAGGTGTTGGGCGTGGGGGCGCTGTGGGGGTTTGGTTGGCCATCGATCACTTTCACGGCCCTCTGTGCGGCGGCGGCAGCGACGGGTTGGCCGCGCTCCAAGTAGAGCCTCCGTTGAGCGTACCGCGTGATCTCGGTTGTGGTGAGGTGCGTACTGGAGTTGTTTGTCCATTGGCGATATACGGTGCGCTTGGTAGAAGCAGATGACAGAAGCGCGTGCCATCGTCTCGAGACCTGGGGAGTACGAGCTGCGTTAAGTCCCGGTCCATCAACAAGTCTGCTCCCCGTGTCCCTGATAGTCACCTACTCTCCTGAGCACGTGAAGATCGGAAACACTCAGATGCTGCACAATCTGAAGGGCGATCTCGGGCAGGGACTCGCCTAGGATGTCTTTCTGGAAGGTCCGCTGTTTGATGCATGCGCGTAAATCGCACCATTCGGTGGAGTTCAGTTGGTTCAGCAGTTCATGATACCTGCGACTTGAAACTTAGCACTATCACGTCTGGACGGGGAAACAGATAAGGAAGGGGGTGGGCGTAGGACGAGTTGGCTCATACGCAGCTCTTCGGGCGGAATTTGTGCTCAGATTATTAAAAAGAGAGATGATCTGCTGGATGGTTGTGGCATTATCACTAGACGGTGAATCCAGACTCATAGCTGAATTCGGGCACTGCGCCGGAGGGGAAAGGGGTTGGGGGGGGAACGTTGTGGGGTTAGAGAACAAGGAATCCCCAAAGGAAAAGTCCAGGTAGAGTACGGAGTATAGCAGTGCTTGTGGCGTGATTAGACAGGGAAAGTTGCAAGAATATAATGTGAGGAGAGAGGATGGAGCTGTCACATTGACTATTGTAGATTAAGTTTTATTATTGACAGGACAGGATTTCCGGCTATGGATCAGCTTGGGTGTCTTGTTATGGTAAATTACCATAGATACCCAGAAAGATATATAAAACTACTAAGTTATGAGTATGACTATGTAGCTTTACTTATGATTAGCATAGTACAATGTAGGCAAACAGACTGAATAAGTATCAAATGTGTTTTCAGCTTCATTATCCTTCCAAAATATGCACCCAGCCTTCCTTGTTCATCTCCTTATTTAGGGTGGTTACTATTGTTGCTTGTGATTGATTAATTGATCCTATTGTTCTCTCCTCTGCGGTTCCTCCCGCCGACGTGTTCAGAATAAAGTACGAAAGGTTCTCCAGGCAGCTTACTTGTACTGCACCTAGTATGTTAATTTATGAGTAACTAGTACGAGTACAACTGTGACTTTAAATTATGCTAGTTCCAACGGAACAAGCAGCCTGCGCTGC